CCAATTTTTGGCGAAAGGATGCAAAGGATACCGATTTTGTTAATGACATGTCATATGGTTTCTTTGGTACCAAATTAAGGAGCAATAAAGGTTTGGGAGAGGATATGAAGGACACCGAGCTAGGCGATGATATCATCAAATGGTTTGTTTGGTACCAAATTAATCACTACCAAGAAAAGAAAGGTGTGCCACGTAGGTAGTAAAGATTAAGCAGCACGCCATATATTTAGCAGGATACAATGTATTGCCCTGCATCCAAAGCCGTTAATTACATTTATACATTTTAGGATGTAAAACGAACTATATATACAAACAAAAAAGGATGTAAAACCAACCAAGCAAGGAAGAGCAACTACCTTCGAACCTAATCCATTTTTGGCACCTCATTAAACATTGACCAGACCAGCAGCTACAAATACCCATCCATTCCCCATTGACTCTTCATCCATCCATCACCAAGCTAGCTAGCTTTCTCCGGCCACTGGCGGTGCAAGCAACCAGTTAACCAGAGTAAGCATGGAGGGGTCGGCCACTATGACCGTTCGGGAGGTGTTGTACATGTACAGCGTTGCGCGGGAGGCGTACGAGCGGTTCATCTCCGTGGGCGGCAACCCGGAGCAAGCCCAGAACGCGGTGGCGCTGCTGGTGTGGCTGGACCAGGGCACCATCTCGGCCATCCACCATGTCCCCGGCCTTGAAACCAGCGCCGTGGCCATCGTCACCGAGGAGGCCAACGCTGTCCTCGAGTGTCTCCGCTACCCGGTGCCCGTGCTCCCGCCCATCCCGCTCATCTCCACGCTCTGCATACAGGGCGGCGTCTACATCGAGCCAGGCTTCTTCGCCTTCCACCAGGACTTGGTGGTCCGCGGGGTCGCCCACTTCCTCGATGGCGCCGGTAAGTTGGTCTTCAATGACCGCTTGAATGTATTGCTCAGGAGGTATGAAACTGGACTGTTTGGGAACCCGCCGGAGCTCATGGCGCCCTACAGGCCCCTTCCGGTTGTGGTGCCGGAGGACTGCCGCTCCATGTTCATCACCTTCTCCAAGGACATGCATCTCCATCGCGAAGAAATCTTCGACTACTTCAGGGAGTAAGTGCACTACCAAGATACTACTGGATCTACTCATTAAGTTTTGACTTGTATTTGAATCTACTAAGACCTGCCTGCATGCATGCATGATTCAGATTGACTCTTCACATTGATGTCTAATGGTTGTCAATTTGTCATGGATGGATGCAGGAAATGGGGTGATTGCGTGGTGAGGGTGCTCATGGAGAAGACGACAGGCGGCAACGTGCCCATGTATGGCCGGATCATCTTCAAGACAGAGGCGGTCGTGAAGCTGGTGCTCAACGGTGAGAGGCTCGTCAAGATCTCCATCGACCACCGTGAGATGTGGATGCGCAAATACATTCCCAGACCTACCAACATCACCGCCTAGCCTGATCCATCCAGGAATCAATCATCATCTTATCTCAATGCTCGTGTTGCTTGTTAGCCAGATCTACCGGATTCGTGACGTGCCATTTCAAAAAATATTTGTAACGCAATGTTGTTTTGGAGCCAAATTTGGAGAAATTAAAAACTGCTTGAGAAAAAATTTGTTGCTCCTTCGTTTGGTACTAAATAAACCATATGAGGACATCATTGCCTACCTCAGTATCCTTCCCTTCCTTCTCCCAAACCATGGCGCGCAAAAGTTTTTGGTTTAGATCATCCTTCTCCCAAATCTTGGCGCGCAGTAGTTCTTGATTTTGATTTTAAAATTGTGCATGTTAGACAGAACAAAGGGGCGCGCAAAAGTTCTTGGTTTATTTTGAAATTGCGCAAACGTTAGACAACGGCCACCAATGTCGCAACATAGCCCCCCGTACCCCTCTCCCCACTCCACATTCGGGGATGGAAATTTCTGCTTTTAGGGCATGGCAATTCTCACAATTTAACATTGATGTGACATGAAAATTCCCTTTAGCTGGCATGGAAAGTCCTCGACATGGTAATTTTCACCTTTTTTTAGTCTACCAATTCTCCATGCTGCAATTATGGCAGTCTCCAAAAAATGTATGGCAAGTACTCTTCTGCAGCATGGCAATTTTCTGACAATATTTTTATACAACATGCTTTTTTATACTTTAGAACATGGCAAATCCATATACAATAACATGGAAAATTTATTTATCTCGCATGGCAATTCTGGAGTGTTTGCTGAGAATTTTTTGTTTTGGAACAAAAACGTTCGTTCATTTTCGGCTTGCTAGGAGAACGATAGTCCGCTTGGGTGACCTCCCTGAGGGAACATCAATGAGTTATTGGGGTCATTATCTTATGTAAGTCTATACTCGCATACACCTTTCCTAAAAGTTCATCTACCACCAGGGATCTCGTCCGGGGTGACACCAACTTCGTTGATAGCGATGACAAGTTCGTCTTCCATGACCACCTCCACATCCTTCTCAGGAAGTCTGAGACCAGGCTGATGGGCATATCAGGCTCAAGAAAAAGGCATGGAAATGTTCTCGGTTTTGATTTTGAATTACGCATTTGTCATGGACGGATGCAGTAAGTGGGGCGACTGCATCCTGAGATGCTCATGGAGAAGACGGCGGGAGGAATCATTCTGATGTACGACCAGATCATCTTCAAAGTTGAGGCGATCATGAAATTGATGCTCAACAGCGAAAGGCTTGTCAATATCTCCATTGACCATCGTTAGATCTGGTTCCACGATTATATCACCAGGCCAAGCAACACCACTGCTTGATCCATCCATCCAGGATCTCCATCCTTCCAATCCTCATGCTAGATAGCCAGATCTGCAAACCAATCGATTTGTAACACAATGTGGTGCCCTAAACAAGGTGAGATAAAGAATTTCTTGAGAAAAAAGTTTGTTGCTCCTTTAATTGGTATTAATAAAAGAATATAATGACATCGTTGTTATTTGGACACTGACCGCTTCTGGAGGCGGCGCGAGGCAGGGGCGACAGCGGGGCGAGCGAAGGATAGGCGGCAGCAGACGGGGCGAGCGCAGCCAGCGAGAGTGTGGCGCGCGGCCAGGGTGTGTGTCGCGCGGGGGCACAGTGTTACGGTGGCTGCGGCGAGCGCGACGGCAGCGGCGGGCGCGACCGACACGGTGTAGCACGGGCGTGGACATGGAGAGGGAGTGGCCCCGCGGGCGCAAAAGAAGAGCGGCGGGCTCGGGCATGGGCGTGCATAGGAGCGGGCATGTGCCACGGGGTCAATCCGAGGAGCTCGGTGGGTACCCCTGCAATGGCCCTGGCGGACGGCGGTTCTTGGCCACGGCGAAATACCTAACGAGAGCAAACGAGAGGTGAAACAGGGGAAAGGCAAGAGGAGATCATGGCAGTGTCAATGGCGCCCTAGGGGAAGACATGGGAGCTCGGGGCGGCGCGGATCGAACGGCAATGTCGCGGTGGCCCAAGGTTGAGGAAGATAGCAACGACGTCGATGCGGGGGTGCTGGACTTGATCTCGTTGGCGCGGACGAAGTAGCGAAGGCGTTCGGAGCTGCTCGACAAGCGCCTAGCCCGTAGGGAGGGCAGTGGCCATGTGGACGGGGTCGGTCATGGTGGCTGGCGTCTGACTTCGTCCAGATCGACGGGATTGAGCGAGCGAGGAGGAGAAGTGGATTTGGGAGGGGACGTCGAGGAGGAGTGAGGCCATGGGGGCAGGGAAGGAAGGGCATCACCCTTATCCATTGCCCTTCGATGCCAGCGAGGTGGTTAGGCGGGAGCCCGGCTCTGTAGCGACGCGGCTCGGGGAACAGGAGAAGACGACCGCGCGGGGACTGGACCACTGAGCCGGTTCGGTGGCAAGGTCCGGGGGTAGGGCGAATCCCCTTTTACATCGTCCTTTTGGTTTTTCAATGTATTCTAATATGTTTCTCCTTTTTAACACCGTTTTCTATTTATTATTATCAACTAAATGATCTCTACTCCTAATGTCTCAGTTGGTAGTCTCCGTTCCGGGTTTATTTTCGTCCCACCTCCCGAGTGAGGGAGAGGGGGAGAGAGTGAGGAAGAGGGAGGGAGAGGGTGTGTGTGTGAGAATTTGATGGTAAAAAAGGTCATCAATGTCACTTAATATGTATAAGAATATTAAATATAATATTAACATAATTGATATTGAACTTTTAAAGTTAATATGGCCCCGTTGCGAACGCACGGGCGTTCTTCTAGTGTTCTTTATATTTGCATGTGCATTGCAGCATCAACCTGAACCCCTTCTTCAGTCCCACCTTACTTGTACTTCAGTTACCCTAAATAAGTTGCATGTAAGACAATTCCTAAAGCTCAACCGTTAAATAGCCGATGCACAATGGCCACCCATGTTGCTATGTAGATGCCCGGTTAACTAATTCCATTATTTGGACAATGGTCACCTGCATACACCTTCCGGCAACCCTCGTCCTGCCCCCTCTCATTTTTTCATGCATTTTTTCATGCATTTATATATAGTCCGTACTTTTCCTCCCTCACCCTAAATCCCTAATTAGTCGCCAACGAAGTAACCATGTGGCATTGCCTAAGATCCTTCACTTTCTTTTGCATTTACATGTTATTCCTCGAAATCAGCATCCAACCATCATCATACCCGCCTCACTCTAAATATAATTAATCTAGAGACGAATAAAGGTTCTAGTTGCATGTCGGCAAAATTACACTCTCAATATAGATTGATGAAAAATTCAAGTAGCCGGTAATTCGCTAGCAGAACTCGGACTTTATACTGCTAAAGATCCATCAACGCACAAATTTAACAATAATAATGCAGAGTTATCGGGGTTGCCACAAATTTAACAACAATACAAATTCAATCATACAACATTTATATATCGATGGACACAATTCATTGTTCGGCAAAATTTGAATCCTCCACTCTCGCTCATACATACATATGCTTAATTATATGTATAATATAATGCGGTCGAACGAGCAATCTTCTCTATTATGTATGTAGGGAAGGAAGTACTTCAGGGTCAGGTGGCGTAGTTCTGGACAATCCCGGAGAGGGATGAGTATGTCCCCACGCAGGCGCAGGTAACCCCTACGGCGATGATGAATGAGCATGTCGCAGTCTGTAAAATAGTTTTTAGTTAGGCTCCTCATCATAATATGACTTCAGAACCTTCTCTGTTCTGCTAGATACAAGTATAATTATAATAAAGAAATGTGACGTTGGAAATATTTGTGTACCTGATACCAAGTCGCTTTTGCCTTGAGGATGGCCAGAAAGCAGGCACAAGGCAGAATGTAGGTCTGCAATGAAAACATATTTTAGCCTCTCACGAATAGCTTACCGATTACTTGTTATCATCTGATGAAATAATCAGCGAAAACTTACCACAAGCATCGCGAATAAAGAGCCAATCAGAGCCATCACAAGTGCTGTCAATTTACATAAAAGAACAAAAGTCAGTGGATAATCAAACGGTGTGCTACTAATGTGTAGTAGATCAAAGATAGAAAGCAAATTAACTTACCAAAGAAGGGAACTGACAGGGCAATGATGAGGGTTGACACCACCAGGGCTGATCTAAGAATGATTATGTTGGAGTACTTCTGCTGGCTCCGCGGCAGCAACTCTTCCAGACTCATGGCCAGTGGGGTTATGGTCAATGCATATGTGATTCTTCGTTAAGGACATTGCACAATAGTCATATACATCAACAAATGATTTCAGAACATTATGTAAAGCTACAAAAAAGATTGTTCTGTATTCCAGAACAGCATAGACAAGAAACAGAATTTTCTCTATGTTTTGTTTTTAGATTAATAAATAATCCCCTTTCAAGATAAATAATTGACAAGCCAAGGATATTTGGTTATCGGATTTGCCACCTGCAATAAAATTCAGGTGCTAAGTCAACATGACTGAGAATAAAGTAACGTAAAACATGCTTGCTACAGAACAAATGGATCTGAAATAATCTAGCAAAAGCAGTTTACCGTAGCCCAGACGGCAATCTTGGAAACCACCAGATTCTCCGGTAAGTTGAGGGTGAACTGAGACTCGGTGGCTTCGCCGAACATTTTGTATCCCATAACAGCGGCGGCAGTAAACAAAATGGTAGAAAACCCAATGCTGAAATTACAGAAGCATCAAACCAAGAGTGAGTTCTGACCTTCCCCAAAACAAATGATATGGGGCATGGATGGACTGCATATAGGTTGTCCCAAAGTGGCCAATTTACCAGGTGAAAAGAATGGAAGGAAACTGGTTGCGGTTCTTCAGAGAAGAGTAGATGTTTGGGAACACCCCGTGGCCCGAGTAGCAGTAACCATACAGTCCAATCGCGATAGGAATTCCCGGGAGGTTTAACGCGGTCCCTTTGTTCTCGAAGCCGACATGATCGACAACCCCAATCCAGCATAGGCACATGACCACAAGGATTGATGCAACCACACCACCAGCTACAAAGTACAGAGCATACAAATAAAGTGTTAGTCTTGTCAGATACTCTGTTAAAAATTGTTTAAAAAAATAGAAGCAGCAAGTGAATGCAGACCTGAAATATAGCTCAGGCATGTAAGGTCACGGAGCCAAGTGGTCGGCATGACAACAAGCGTCGTCAAGATTGCGAAGAACACGTGCGAGTTTATCGTCAAGCCCCCAATGTTGAGGTGTACATTGGGGAACAACTTTGATAAATTGTCGCTTTCCAGTATCAAATACTCGATGCAGCAGGCCTGCAACAACAGATCACCAACCCGTTAATTAGTCGCAGATTCTTTTAGATGTTGCGATGACTCTTCGGGTTTAAACGGTCGGTTGGTACGGAGTACTTACATACAGTTCCACATACAGAATTATCTGCAGATAGTGAAGCCACACACAAGAAGCAGAAACAAGTTAGCACAACAGCTTCCCCTGGCTGAAATCTGCCCAAACCGAAGAACTTAATCTTACCGAGATGGCTATGCGGCCGGTGGTGCCAAAGGCGGCGTGCCCGATATCCGGGTACGTCTGGAGGCCCTCTTTGCTGTCCAGGCAACGGCGCAGCAGCACACCGGTGTACCATGCGAGCAGAGCAAACACAACCAGTATCACCAGTCCGAGCCAGCCCCCTTGCTTGATGGCGTAAGGCGTCGACAGGATTCCGACGCCACACAGAACATTTATCCCTGCATATTAAACAGAAATGGGAGCACTGGGCTTAACAACCAGAGAATTTTTGTCATCAAGAATTATGTACTTATCCAGGATGAGCAAGTATTCTTCAGGTTCAGTAAAATTTGTCACAGGAAAGTTCAGACGTTCAGAATAGAAATTCTATTGCAGATCCAACTGGTTTGTCTGGAAGCAGCGGGACAGCGTGCAGATCTCGATGTGACAACATGTCACATGGATTGGTTGCGCTGACTCATCAACCATGTGATGTCCCTATTAATACGGAAGAACAGGAAGAAAAATCGAAACGGTGGACCGGGAACCATGTGCGATGCGGCGCCTCAACGACGCGAATGGACAGTGCTCAATCATATCATGCATAATTCACCACTTGGTGTACTTGATGGTTAAGTAGATCTGATCAGAACATTCATGGAGCTAATTAATAGTTTCAGTACACTGAACTTGGACATTGGTCTGCTAAGAACGTGTCTAGGTTCACCAACCCTGATATGCTCAGCAATGGTACATCACAAGAATATGCTGCAGTGCCAATAATTGAGGGCTCTGCGCACAAAACAAGCATGCAGTTTTGTGGTTGGATTTTACCAATCGATTTACTCGTGTCGGCCCGACAAATCTAGCATTTCTGTAGCATTTCATTTGAAATTCAGAATGGGAAATTCATTCACCGGCGAAGCCTGTGTTGCAGGTGCTTACCGTTCATAGCTCCCTGGGTGTAAGAGCACTGCTGATACGGCGAAGCCTCATGGCCGACCACCACCGGCTTCCGGTCCTCGGGGATCTGCTGCAGCGATGGCTTCCTCGACGGCAGGAGGTACTGCGAGCTCTTCTTCCGGATGTCCTCATGCTGCTGTTGCTCGTCGCTTGTGGTCGGGCGTATGAGCGGCTTGACGAGACTCGAGACGATCTCGGGGGTTTTGCCCCGGAAGGAGGTGTTGAGGAAGGAGCTGTTGAGGAAGGAGTTGGACAGCCTGCTCAGCGTCGGGGTCCCCAGGAACCCCAGGCTCGGCGACTGCACGTTGCTCAGAATGTCGATCGATTGCCTGTGGAAACACAAGAGAGAAAAAAATGTTTGTTACTATAATACAATAAGATTGGCCAACAAAATAATTAGTTGCCTTCTCAGAGTCAGGGTCCCCGGCAATGTTTCTAACTTGTTTCAGGCTATTTGTAGCCAACAAAATACAGTAAGATTCAGTCTCATCTAATTAAGAAGAGCAGTCCAGATGCAGGTTTTGGGCAGAAATGGTGACTTGGAACAAAATGAAAACGCAAGGCGAAACAAAACCGTGGGACCGAAAAGAAAAAAAATGCTGCGAAATCGCGCGTTTCGGAAGGAAGAATCCAAGGAAAAAGAAACAGCTGAGCAGATGATGAAGAAGTGACAGCCAGGTGCTGGTCACTTGGTCCACAAGGCTGAGCTGTATCACCCCACCCCACCAGGGGTGACCTGGCTGTTTAAAATTGGTGACATCCTTCCAAAATATAATAAAGAATAATAATAATAATAATAGTGGTGGTGCTTTGTTTGGAGACAGGCATGAGTAGAGGTGGTATTTTGGATGATGATGATGATTAAGCCAGTACAGGTAGTGGATTGAGATGGGTGGGCAAGCACAATTCCAACTTTCCCACTCTGAGGAATGGATGTATATTCACTAATTGCCACATCAGCAAGCACCATACATACAGATCCAGAGATGCAGAGGGGGGAACAGAAGATAAGAGAAGAGAACATGATGAACATGCAGCAGGTTGGTTTTGTCCTGTCTGTTTCTCTCTCTCTCTCCCTGTCAGAAAGGAAGCGTGTGTCTGCTCCTCCACCTCCACTCATTCGTTCAACTCCATTGATAGGCGGTAGCAGGAATGGAACGCCATGCGATTGTTCAAAGGGGGGCCAAAGAATGGATCGAGTTGAAACTTGAAAGAAAGAAAGAAAGAAAGAAAGAAAGAAAAGGGAGACTGCAGTAGCAAGCAAGCAAGCGATAGATGGGATCGATCCATGGTGTTGAACGAAAGACTTTGATGGATGGAGATGGGATCGTTATATACATACCTGTAGCTCTGCGGCCATTGGTTGGTGTACGAGTTGGGCTGGCTGCCGCCGCCGCCGCCGCGCGGGGTGCCGCACGACGACGAGTCCGACGACGACCCGTCGCCGGCGTCGTCCTCCCTGTGGGCGGGATCCTCCTCGTCGCCGTCGTCGTCGTCGCTCTCGATGATGAAGCTGCGCTCCTCCCCCAGCAGGCTCTTCATCCTCTCGCTTCTCGCCGTCGCAGGGGAGAGCAGGGGAGAGAGGAGAAGACAAGACAGGAATGGGTCTGGCTGATTGCTTCTCCTTCGCCTTGCTTTGGACTTTGGCCGGAAGGGTTTATATAATAGCCTACGGTTCAAAAATAATAGTACATTCCAACTTTCATTCACCGTAGGAGTAATAAGGAAACCAAATTAAGAAAGCTTTTGACAGTCCATGCCAGTGTACGTACTACAAAACCCTAAACTCAAAAGAAGAAAGAAATAGCAGCTCTGCTTTTCCGCCTCGATTAAAAAGGAAAAAACATTTTGCCTGGCTGGACAGCGAGCTGTCGACGCATAAAAACCTTAATTATTGTAATTTTATTAAGGAAAATACTAAAAGGCAATGGCATTGTGATTTGTTTTACAAAAATAATATTGGTGGCAGTGGTTTAGGTTGCTAGTTTTTTTCCCGTAAACGCGTGTTTTTTTGTATAAAATTTGGCCGACCGATCGTCTCCCTCCCACGAGATCTCTGGGCGTGTGGTCTCCTCCCCCTCTTTTGTATTGTGTCGTTCCGTCTCCCCTTACGAGCGTTGCGGGATCTCCTTTGGCCCACTTTTCCCGCCTCCCATGGACGGTAGCGCACGATAGGCTGCTACTTGGTCCATGACCCACCTACCGTCCCGGTTCCGCTGTCCTCCACCTCATGGACGGTAGCATGATACGCAGCTGCCTGGCCCAGGACCCACCTGTCATCGCCGATTTGCCATACTCCACCTCATGAGGAAAGGAGACATGCGGAATGAAGATAGGGCACGAGCGACGCCAGAAAGGAAGAAGAAATGTCGTGTTCCGCGCGTCATTTCATTTTCTTCTAGGGCTGCTGACGTAATCCTGTTGGAGGCCTCCGTGCAAAATAAGGACATGAGCCTGCACAACTGTATGTGGGGCAAACTTGGCACTTCGGCCTCCTCTGATAGCAATAGGGAGTCCAGGAGGGGGATAAGTCGAGGGATGCGGCAGCTAGGGTTTGCATGAGCCCTTGGATGACAGTTGGACGTTATATGCAAACAAAAAGAACCGGAGGGGGCATAACAGTACATTTTACACCAGGACCCTCAAAGGATGCAAAATTATAGACCACTCTTAACACTAAAAAGGAGTCAAGGCCATGAAGCAAGATAGAATCCCATGCTTATAACAGTATGCAGAACTGATCGGAACCCATCATCATCGGGGATGAAACATCACCGGCTACTAACCGGGGAGAATAGAAGTAGATTCCAGGCTACTCCAAAGCCGCCTCCCCTATGTCACGACGATGGGGAGGAGAGAACGGAGGTGGCTATACAGAAAGCCGACGCTCCCAAGAAAGCAAAATTATAGACCACTTCTGACTTTGAAAAAAAAGGAGTTGAGATCATGATGCAAAATTGCAGTAACGTCCTTGGAATGGGGTGCAACACCGACCGAGGCCAACATCGTTGAGGATTAAACCACTTCGTATGATGGGTCAGCTACCACTCCATCACTGGCTGCTAACCGGATGGAAGAGAAGTCGATGCCAAGTTGTGCACAAACTGCCCTCCCCCCGCTACGGCACGACAACAGGAAGTAGAGAACGGAGGTGGCTTTAGAGAACGTCGACACTCCAACCTGTCGTCATACTACCAATAGGGTACATCAGTGTGCCAATAGAAACCTGATGCCGGAGACAAGAGCAAGATTCTCCCAAAAAGGGAAGGGTGCTCCTGCTGCCGCCATGGCTCCAACCCGCACATAACTAGGACTGAGCACCAATGACGAAATGATTTACCAGCTCGTCAGACACATGCTCCCCCCCCCCCTTCCACATCTCCTCCTCTTTCCCACGGTGAGAAAAGGCATGCGCCAGAAGAGAGCATATAGTGAGAAAAGGCGTGCGCTAGAAGAGCGCATATATATATAGGGAGAAAAGGTGTGTGATAGATCCATGCAAACATTTTTTGCTAGTTTATAGATCACTATTTTCTCTTTCACGGCCATTTTTTTAAATCATATGTATCTATGATATACTTGGCCATCCATCGGGCTGGGCCTAACAAAGCCCGGGGAAGAAAACCTAGGCCCGGGCCCGGCCCGTCAGTGAAAAAGCCCGCTAGGCCTTGGGCCTCGGGTCGGGCTCCTTCACTAGAATGCAAAAAAAGCCAAGCCAAGCCCAGGCCTGGCCTGACGTCTCCTTGGGGCCGGGCTGGGTATCCCATGGCCAGGTATATAATCTATCTAACACATTTACTTACTGTGCATATATGCACACTACTAGTTTATTTTGGATTTATCAACCTTTACAAAAGAAAAAGAAAAAGGTTGGAAAGCAGAGAGAGGTTCCAGGGTGCTCGAAGCCAAAACAAGGAGCAACCAAGGCAGTAGCTAGATGAAACGAGTGGCGCGCTAAGACATGTTCATGTGGGCCAGTTAATTAACCGTCCACTTGCTCAGAGGATACGTACAAGATAGATAGATGGCGCCTTCAAGGAGTTTGTGTGGCGTCTTGCAGGGGAGGCTCTCTCTGCTGGATCGATGAGGTTCTTATTAGCTTAGCAGCAAGGATCCAAAGCAAGCAGGGGAAACATTATGATTATGATTAGTAGTACCCCACCACACGATGCTGCTTATCATAATGGGGGACACATTATGTTTAATCATCATCATTATTGATTGATGTCGTTGTTGCTGCTTATCATACAGATGTATGTCGACATATTTTAGAGTGTAGATTCACTCATTTTGCTTCATACGCAGTTACTTGTTGAAATCTCTAGAAAGACAGATATTTAGGAACGGAGTGAGAGGTAATGTTGGTGGGGGCAATTTGTTTCTGGCCGCAGATGAGACGACAGCAATAAGAAAGAGAAAAAAACAGCCATCCATTGGATGGACATGGCTGTCACTGAAGCATTTTCTTGGCAGTTCTGTTGGCCTCACCGATCGGATCTTAGTAAACGCTGACGGACGGAGTAGCTGGGCTAGCAACAATTATATTATTATTAGTAGTAGTAGTAAAGTATGTGTTTGCATTGCCAAAATGACTGATTGATTGCCCACCGTTGAAATTTACTTGTTTATAATCACGTTTGCTTGCACTGTAGCACGCTCTGGATCGTCATCGTCAGCGGCCGATCGGATCCCATGGATGCATGCATGGTTTCTTTATGTTCATTCGCTAGCAGATAAGCTAAACTGAACTCGGGACAGTGGAAGAATGGACCATGCCATGCCATGCTGTTGACGCCAACATGGATGCATTCCCATCCTTCTTCAACCTTTTGGAAGGCCCTACAAATATATACCGACGAAAGCCCGTCATTTTAACTCTTCTGAACTATAAGGTGTGAGTTTAATTTTTAAGCCCCAACCCACATGTTGGTGTCCACATAAGTCCGGGAGGCCCTAGCCTTGGTTGATGATCCATACTTCCAGAGGATGACGGTGGCATCGGATTGCAAGGTGGTGCTCGATCGACGCAATCAAGCACCGGAGTGCGTCTTTTTACGGTGCTGTGCTACATGAAATATTGCTTAGTTCATCTACTTTTATTTCCTGTGCTTTTAGTCATGAGTTTCGGACCTCGAATGCTGAGGCCGACCGTCTTGCAAAACATGCATTAGCGCTAGGGACTGGCCGTCGTGTCTGGTTGGGGGTCCCTGGTGAGCTTAACTTCGTCCCTGCAACGGTGACAATCGAGTAATAAAGCATGTTTGCCTAAAAATACATAAGTACAAATGAATCCCCAAGTCAGCCTGGCCCCGTCATCACGGTTTTAAAGGAATAAGCTAATGTTTGGGACAACCTCTATGAGAAAAAGTGGGAACAAACCTACACTTCTATGAGAAAATTCAGGATAGAAAACTGCAAAAGCAAAATCTAATAAAAAAATTTGCGAAGAGCAAAATCCAATAATTGAGGAGTATGATTTCTTTTAATAGAGCGTTGTGCCACATGAATGAATGATGATAAAAAAAGGCATCGGATTATAATTTTTTTAGATTTATTTGGTAGAAAAAACTTATATTCCATTTTATAAAATAACCCTTTAAAAAAAAGGAGGATCACCCCCGGCCTCTGCATCCGGGAGATGCATCCGGCCATATTATTAAAAAGTGCCAACAAAAGACAGAACCCCTTATTTTTGGTTTACAATATTTAATTTCCATGTGTTTCATGAAGTCGGAGTTTTCTTCAAAGGTTATTCTTTTTTTATTTAAACAGGCCCTTATTAGACCAGAAGTTGAGGATTCTCTAATTTTACGACAATTTTCTTTCTCATGAAATTAGGTTTTTCCAACAATTTGGGATGGCACTATCTCATCAGTTCCAGTCCACATGGCGAGCAGAGAATACTTCCATCTAGGACAAGGAGGAACATTTATGTCTTAAAGTTCTCAGGGTTGATAGGACCGAACACTAGGCCCATTCGTTCGAATGAATTTCATAAAAATTCCTGAGGATTTTTTCTCTTGTGATCTTTTGTCCTGCAAGATGGTATGATTAGAAAACTAACATTATGACTCCTATGGTCAACTGATTGTATGTAATATGGAAAATCCACGGGTGGTTATTTATTTAATTCAAACATCTGTTTTTTTTTTTTGCATCACAAGTACGATACTGATGCTAGACATTTTTCAGTAAACCACACACATCAATATTCAACAATCAGAACACATGTACAAACACACGCTAAGGAGGCCAGAAAAAATCAGGGGTTGACAATGTCCTGAAAACTATGAGAAAGGACACCAAGACATAGAAAAATACAAGAAGGTCCATAGGGGTCCTTGCATGCACACAACGAAAACTGATGGTTGTAACCAATACCCAACACCGCCAAGGGGTTCACAGGAGAAGAAGCACAACATCCACCGTCGTTAGACCCAGGGGAACACAATCGCCATAAAGGCTTTCAAAGTTGATGAACATGACTGCTGCAAGCAGCAAGGTACATGTTGTTATGGCACGTTTACTGGAGAACATCCCCA